AAGTACTCTTTTCGCCTCTCGTGATTACTACCGAATTTCTTCGAAACTTGTTGATATTCTTCGAGGATATCGTTCTCGAGCCCTTTGCAACCCACTACCGGAAACCCAAACAAATAGACAGATTTTACGGAATGTCGATGCTGGACGGGGAAAAACGCTGGAATATCGTCTCTGAAAAAGATTTACAAGTGAAAATCATCATCAGCAACCAATGCGATAAATTGCGATAAGTTTAAGATATTTCACAGATTCTCAAATAGTGCTTCCTTCATCACAACGTTCATAACGAGACTGTTCCGAACGTACCATTGCTAATCCTTCCTCGACAGTTTCTTCTCTTTACGTGTTCTGTTGAATGTCGTGGGAGTGATAACTATTATAAGGTAATAGTATTCGTAGCTGTTAACAGGCTAGTTTGAGAAGGAGTCACCTTGACTGCTCTAAAATCACAGAGTAGCCACAAAATGAATCAGTATACCTGAGCCAGTCAAGATCTTTCTCGCTCAGTTCATACGGTCCGTACTCGATGGCCAGTTGTAGAGCAGCGAAATGTATGGCCGTATCAAGGTCACACAGGTAACGGCCTCGAAGAATCTCCTCTTTTGCGCTCACATAGAGAATTTCCGTCAGAAACTCGTTATTATCATTCTCTATCTGCAATTGATGACCGCTTGGAATCATACAGAAAATATGAAACGAAGAGAAAATACAGGAGAATTTTGGGAAAATAATCGAAAATGTAGGTTTCTAGTTAGCATCAATGGATTGCATTAATAGAACACGTATGATAGGTGCTTTGTAGAATTTCACAGCGATTCTCTGGGCTTCGCATTGTTTCTCACTGTAATTTGCCAGTCACGAATATGCACAGTACATTTCTAACAGTAGGCAATGCAATAAGCTCACTTCAATTTCACGTTCGACCGACAGCAAAACGTTCCGTTTCAGGACCAGAAGTGGCTCATCACCAGCCACATGATCGTCAGGCTCCAAGTGTGCGAAGCGTCTCAGAAGCACTTCCCAACTGTTGCGTATCTCATATGGAATATGATGTGCTTTCAGTTGTACCTCTACAAAAAGAAATACAGCACATTACAGTATGTCAACAAATATAGGTAAATATTTGCAATACATTATGCTATGAAGGTTGTATCGGTCATACTATTTGGAGCTGAGAGATTTTGACCTCAGAGATAGAAAAACCTATCGAAGCGAACTTTGAACAATTGAAGATTCTCCAATACACAATTATCCATATTTTATCCGTGAAATTTCACAGCATGAATAATTAAATGTACACAACGGAGATAATCCACAAGACAAGAATATCAATCGCTATGTACAAATGGCTTTGTCGGGCACTTCCCATCGAGCGTCTCAAGGGATACCCGAAACATTTCAAAAGTTTATCAACTGACAATCAAAGAACGAAGATACCAACCTAACAGATCTGAGACCATCCAGAGCGCACACGTTTCATGCAGAAGTGGTGCATCGATGCTATAATATTCAGCCAAAATATCGATTATGTCCGAAGCCTTTGCTAATTTACCATTGATAAGTGGTAGCTGACATCCTGGAATCGAATGAGGTTCAAGAGTGCGGTAAGGAATGAATAGTTCAAAAATATGGTGTTGTACAAGGCGATCTTCTACTTTTATATGATATCCGAATCTCACAATTAGAAAGAACGCAAGTCAGTTCTGAAGTAGGAAGACTTGTCCTCTTATATAACGTAAAATCGCCTGTTAGAGAGAGAGGAGCTTGTCCCCTTGGTCGTTCAGATGATCTGAGGAAATCAGCAAGATGTTAGCACAAATGAAGAGATAATTCTCTTTGAAATGAGATATACCATCAGTAAATCTAACGAATAAAATCTTGATCGTTCTAATGGTGCTCAAAAGTGATCTTCTTACAGCAAGCATACCTCGATTGTCCGGCCAAAACACCGTTATATCCAGTGCATCGTCCAGCGAAGTTACAGTTGGTGTTTCAGAGGGTGTATCACGAGTGTGACGCGTTGCTTTTGGAGGTTCTAGTTGACTGCTAGACAATAAGCCGCCGGGATGCCTGAAATTTTGGGTGTACGTAATATTTTCTGCGCGATGACGAATCGCTATTGCTCCTCGGCATGCACTGAAATGCGGGACCAATAATTCAGCAAAGCTATTTAAAACCAGAGTGTAAGATTGCTCGTTTACCTTATGGCATATCCCACAGGTGAACTTGTAAGAGGTGGAGAGTTTGGTGAGGCTGATTGTGAACGGCTTTCGGACCCTCCGGACTCCAACTGGATCTGATCTGAGTAATAGACTTGTTTGCGTTTACTCGCTTTCTGCTCACCGCTAACGTTGAGTTGCTTCTCTGTGGTGTTTTTCAATTTCGATACATCAAATTTGTCATTCAACACCTGCAATAAGAAAGGGTCACATCAAAAATCAAATCCTACTCGGTCATCTATCAAGAATAATAATATGGCATCATCAACTCACTTCACTTATTCGAACTTGTATCATTAATCAACAGTAATGACAATAGCTAAATGCTTGGATTCGGTGCGGAAAATAATGATGATGATAGTAATAATGAGTCATGTATAACGCACGAACAATACCTTCGGTGCTATAGCGATATCGGGTAGTTTAACACCACGAGATTCGCTGAGTTTTCGATGTTGTGCTCGACGATTTGGCACTCTCGAATCGGACATGGACTCTTTCGGTACTGCTGAAACTGTTGAATGTTAGCGAGTGATTTGTGGTGATATTGGGAAAGTTGTTCGGAAAGGAACATAAGATGACCTCCTAGCATTATTCTGTAGTGATCAATGTAGTAGAGGAAAAATGCCTAAAGAAATAAGTGAGAACAAGTGAAAAAAACTACTGGATTCGCATAAAAATGGATAGGAATTAGGAAAAAGCGCAGGACCTTTGAAAGCCTTAACAATGAATTACTGAAGTCGTTTTAGCGTTTACTGTAACGAGCGAGACAATAATATATGGAAAGTTAACTAGGACGTTGTTTACTAGGTTCATTTGTGAATGCATGCGCAGTTCCTAAATGCATGACTTATTGTTACCTAACTACTTGTTTCCATCCATATGTACTCCAGTATGATGTCAACATGATGGCATGTATACATAAGTAACCAAACATCAACAGTGTTGTTTATAACTCAAGTCATGCGTTAACATTTCAGTCACAAATGGTAATGAGCTGAATTGTATGACTGGACTTATTGTTAGATCGAAGCCATATCGAAGAACATTGAATTTCACAATTATGCATGCAATCGCCTCAATAGCATGATCCCTGTTTTTTAGTGGTAGTCCTTTGTGTGAGATATCGACTATCAACGTCTAAAGATCACGCGCGATGTCTTCTGTTATTAAGTGCGATTTCCCAATCACACGATTGAAGGGATTTATGGTGAGTGTGACTGTAAAGATAAAGAAGCAAGATAGCCGATCCGCTCGTCATACATATTTCAACAATTGCGATAGCGTGAATACAGCAGCCGCATTAAAAATTTCTGATTTTCATCAACCTAACACAATCAAACTGAGAATTTCATAAATAATTTCATCCGTTGATGAGTTTAGGTTAAGCCGAATTTGTGCTGATCATCTTAACGAAGCTGTAAAAGGTTTACGAGTCGATTGAAACGTTGTAATGCTCAAAAACCAAATCGATCAATCAGTGAGCAAATGATGCGAATAAAACATTTGAGGTGTATGGAAAAACATTAAATGAGAAACATCGAAAAAGGGCATTTATAACTGATTGTGAGGATATTTCTTTTCGCTTCCCATTGGCTGCTTTTGTAGCATCTCTCAGACGTTACCTTTATTTTACTGAATGTGGTAATGAATAACTGAATAAATCTGCTAGGCACTGGACGTGACCGTAATGAAGATGCTTTCGAAAGTATCACTGAATACAATGAATTCAAATAATATAAATACAACCATTGAGTAAATTCAGTGAAAACGCGATTTTGAAAGCCAAAAGTATAGATACACTGAGCTGGAATGGCTTC